AAGCCAGAATCGCCACCACGTGCAAATGGCGGCGGCTCTCGTTGGCTCTATGACTGCCACTGGCTTGCAGTGCCGGGGCGGCACCCTTTGCACGGTGTCCCACCTGGCCGCGGCCCGAGGACACATTCACGTGCTCAAGAAAGTGCTCTACCGCCTCAACTCCATCGGGCAATACAAGCTGGTGATGTCGCACCTCGCGATGGCCAACAGCGTGGTCTCTCGCTGCAAACCACAGAACTGATTGATTTGGTGCTTTCATAAGATTCATAAGTTATGTTAATATTTAATAATAATTTTATCAGTTATGTTAGTAACTAGTTGCTGGCCAAATCATCTCAGGGGCGTTCTTGCTTGGATGTGGCCTTCAGATGCTCCATGGATACGGCGTCCTATTTGCAATGGTGGCAGGCACCGAGTTACATTCCTCCGCCGACTAATGACGAACGACAGAACCAGCACAGGGATCGCTCGCAGGCAACATTCAGGGGCGGACCATCGGCAAGCCGAGGTCCGGATGGATCAAATAGATTAGATCAGCAACTTCTCTTTGTAGGCGTAGGACTCATAACTCCTAGCTTTCTCGTAACTCATAACTCATAACTCATAACGGTTCAAGTCTGAGAACTGATAACTTGAAAATACTAATTCAGTTCATTCCTGGGTCAACCTGAGTCTAAGTCTCAGGCATTAATATGGATAATATTTGCATCCCTGCAGGCCCAGGCTACTACAGCGCTCCGTCCCGCTGAGAAGACCGGTCTCTGACCTGGAATTTCAATCCGGTGAACCTGACAGGTTTCTGAACTAGACTAAGTCACTGAACTACCGCACAGGCAGCGACGGAAAGAGACTGTTTCGTATTTATTTATTCCACTCTTTCTTGCTCGGTCAGGAGTCACGGATTGAATTCCAGGTGTCAACTTTGTGTACATTCCGGCTCGACATAGCCATTTTCCGGCAGAGCTGGCGTGCTATAAGAGCTCATGACCCCAGTTGCCAGGAGCTTCGGTTCGAGTTTATATTTATATTGCTTACTCAGGCACTGCTTCATCACTAGATTGTAGGGAGTGCAAGTCTCGGGTCTCGGACCGCGTATTCCTGGCAATTCGGAATTCTCTGTTTCTGTTCATGAACAGGCGACAGAGGTAAGAGAAGTGACAGACAGGCGTCACAGACGTCCCCTGCCACTTGCAACATGCTGGCTGTGGCGTGCAAAACAGTTGGCTTTGCACCAGGATTCTGTAGGTAATAATAACTATAACTAGTCAGCCAGGGCCCCGGATTCTGATTCTCTTTATAGCTCCCAGTGTCGTCCATAATCATGATTCATCACTTTGATAGTTGAGTGTTGAGAACTATAGTTACTGCTCTTCTCTTTGCTTTGGTTGCGATATATCTCTATTTGAGAACCCGAGATTCAGCACTGAGCACCTCAGACCCCAGATATCATATCACAATCATATGTCTTCGATTGACAATGACAATTACTTTCTTTCTGATGGACCTACGATATTCTTGGACATTTGCTGCCGAATGGTATAGTCCAGTTTTCGCTAGATCGACTGACACGAAAGTCCTATCGTCTAACAAGACAAGTATCTTAACTTGATTGAAATAACTAATCATAGTCCCATATTTGATTCCTCCTTGTGGATGCAGGACAGCCAGTGCACGTTTGCAACGGATGCTGCGGGGACGAGGCCCGAGCGAGAGCCAAGGCTGCGGATCTGTTCTGCGAGTGCCTACTTCGGCCTGTTTCAGTCCCCGCCTTGAACAAGTGGACCAAAGTCTTTCCTTGCGTCGGTGCGTGCGTTCTGCTTGCCTCATTCAGTGATGTGGGCCAGTCCACTTTTCGGACCAAGTTTGGAGATCGAGAGATGCATTCGCTCTCCGAGCTGGATAGTTCCGACAATGAAGAAGATGAGGCCCTGCATGTGCCAATCAACGAAATCAAACGATGGAGGAAGCTGGCAAAAAAACGGAATGCAAAAGCAACTTCTTTCCTTTGTGATGAACAAGCACGATTCCTGAATATGCTATGGATCCTTGTTACAGCACCGTGCATGAAGCTCCATTGGCTTCTCTTCAAGACAGCGACATGGTATTCAGATCGAGATCGAAAGAAGCACATGCAAATGGATCCAACAGTCAGCGATATAGAAGAACAAACCTTGACAGTGGGGCAGTTTTGTATTCCATCCAAGAACCCTGGTCTAAAGGTGATGAAAGAACTTCAATCCCAGCTGGAGGACCCAAGCTCGGCTTTGAGGTTGCTGTGTTTCTTCTTCGGCGATTTCGAAGGTTGGCCTCAGGCTCGGAAGCGAATTGCTCTGAGGTCTATACTACTCACTGTTGGCCAGTTGGCAAGAAAAGTGATCGAGCCTTTCCTTTCGTATCCATGGAAGCTATATGAACTATCCCTCCCCGACATAGATCTGGACTGCCAGAAAAGCCTGGTTCGAGCACTATGTGATGCCCCCGCGTGTTGTTTGGATGCTGGCTTTAGTGGCAAGTTGAAGGCTTTGGCCGTGAGAGAGGCAGCGGTAGAACAAGGTTTATCGAGTGAATTCAGGGAGTTCATGCACACGGTGTTTGAAAGAGTGGTGCTAACATCGACCTTTGTCGAGCGAAAGTTTGCTCATTTCACCCATTGGACAGATGTCAAAGGGAAGGGAGTCTCCTTGGCGCTTTTAGCAGCAAAGCATGTCACCAGGGCTTTTAAAGATGCTGTAGAGGTTTGGAAAGATCGTATCAAGGCACCTCGCTCTCAGAGCTGGTCCAGTCGTCCTTCCTGGTGTCGCAAAAAGGACACAACAGCACGACAGAATGGCTTCCACTTGTTTGCCGCAGAAAGACGTGAGTCCATGAGAGGTTCCTGTCGTGGACAGCAGGCATCGAGGCAGTTCCTAGAAGAAACGCAGGAGGCGTGGCGTTTGTTGAGCGATGATGAGAGACAGGCGTGGGGCGAGCGAGCTCGGCAGAGCAATGCTCGGAAAGCAGCTTTGCAACTTGCGGCTGCTGCACAACAGCCGCCCGACGTTCGTGGCGGGCCTTGGAACTTATCTGTGCCCTCTGGGCAGTGGCCGTTGTCTGAGGAGTGTATGACGGAGTTTCTGAGCTCCCAGAAATTTGACGCAACTCAACGTCGATGGGCTGAGGCGGGCTGGATTGTTATTGTTTCGGTTTCATTTCCATTTCCAAGTTTATGTTGTGTGAGTGTTTGTTTATATTTGGGATGACATGACATGATTCTTGTGAACGAGTCGCTTTGGCCTTTGGCTTTGCAATTTAATTAATTTATTAATATTAATTAATTTATAAGTTATAAGTTATAAGATTACGCAGGCACATGCGATTCCGACGTCAGTCCGGGAAGATATCGCCGTTCGTGATGATCGGACCTTGTTCCAAGTGTGTCCACATGGAGCTTGTCTTGCATGTTGTTCTCAAGAAGTGGTCGCTGTTTTTGGCCGTTTGCACACATGCTTGTCCGTGCTGATCAAGAGATTCGACCCAGCGAAGAAGAATATCAGCGCTTTGCCCCTGACTCTCTTATTTGAGTGCAAGGAACAGAACGTCGTTGCAATCTTTATGCTTGCATTTCGTACGTATATGCACAATATTGATGCAATTTTTCTGGAACTCGATTCGGACAAAGATCTCACAGGCAACTCGAATCCTCCATTCATTCTCAAGTTCAAGAAAGAGACACTCAATCATAGAATCATATGCGTCAACGATTTGTCCCTGTGCAAGATGCTGGCAACCAGAGGTCGGACGTGGGATATATTTCGTTTGTCTTTGGGAGATTTGCAGCGGGACCTGTCTTCTTTTCCGGTCTCTGAGAAGTTACCACACGATTGGCAAGATCTCTTGTCCGAAGCAGCGCAGTTGAAGGAACAAGAGCGTGCACTCAGGGCGGTGCGATTGTTGCAGAGAGCACAGAGGCCACGGCCACGGTCTCAGACCAGGCGTGGCCGGGGCCGAGGCAGACGTCTTGGCAGAGGCAGAGCCGCCCCTGCTCGTGTTGCGGCAGGTGATGACGGGGATGACGAAGGGGAAGCAGTAGACGATGGCGATGCAGTTGAACCTCAATTTTCGGATTGGGATGAACTTTTCAGTGGAGAAGATGAGGATGATGTGTGGGGGCTTGAACAGTCCGAGAACCCAGAGTCACATGGGGGAGGAAGATCGGAAAGGTCTGAAAGGCCCTCGGGTTCAGCAGGCGCTGAATCATCATCCGCTGTCTCAGCTGGAAGAAGTGCTGGAGGCGATGCCGTTCCTCCTCCGCCTGTGCCTGTGCCCGTCGCTGAGAATCCACCACAGGCTCTTCGCCGAAATCAGCGAAGAGCTATAGCTTGGGGCCCTTTTATGTTGTCACCCATCGTTCCTCATCATGGAAGACAAACTGGTTGGGGTGCAATCTGCAATCTACACGTGGATCGTGGTGAGGGGGCTAGCAGCACCCAGTGCAAAAAGGCAGTATCATATGGGGGCATGGATGATGCTACTTGCATTATCCGACTCAAGCGTTGGCTTTGCGCCGGCTTGCACGATGATGACTTTCCCCCAATGAACCCACGAACCCATCATGTGAGAATGGGGGGACCGGGTCTTGTGAATTTCGCGGAGGGCAAAGACGAGGATGAAATGGACAACGAGGTGCAAGCTTACCTCAACAATGGCCCGGGCTAGTCGGACTCCGTCCTGGTTTCTCGGCGGTAGTCGTAGGTGGCCAGGATTCCATGATGCTGTCTTCTCTTGGAACCGTACCCACGGGTATCTTCTGTAGCTGCTTGGCTGCAAGCAATAACAGTGCTACAGGCTACAAGATTTGTTCTTGAATTGGCTCGTACTCAAGGGTTGACAGCCGGGCCTTTTGTTTTGCTTTAGGCTTTAGGAATACGAAATTTGAAATGTCCCAGAAGCATTTATTTAGAAGCCTCCGGAGAACGGTACTGGTAGCTTGGGGGTGTAGCATTCCGAAAAGTGATTCTTCCTATTTGCCATCTGAGGGTGTTTCTGCTTCCCAAAGGAAATGGCAGGTTTTTGTGGAAAGAGAGAAAATATCAATCTGTTGAAATATTTCTGAATTTTTAGAAATATTTCAAATTATTTCAAACAATTTTTGAAAAATAAATAAATAAATAAAACAATTTTAGAAATTTTGTTTTTTTAAAAATGTGAACACTAATTGTGGTTTTGTGAACACTAATCGTGGTNNGTGTTCACATTTTTTCTTTTGTCAAAAAATCATAAATAGTTTTAAATATATAAATAAAATTACAAAATTGTTTGGAAATAGTTTCGGGAATTCTGAAATTTTAACAAATAGTTTTCGGAATTTCCGGAAGGGTTGGGCTCCAATTTTCGGATTTGAGAGACAGAGGAAACTGCCGGGCAGAATTTAATAAAGAGCTCGAGAGCCCCGACCAATCCAAGGCACTCGTGGCACCGGCAGCAGCAACAGCCCCAGGCCCGAAGCTAAGCGACACATGGAAAAAGTTGCCCGGTCCTCCTGAGGTCGCAGCAGTCTTGTGCAGAACACCGCTTGTGCATCTGCATCTTTCTCAGCTTTCTTGTGTGCTAGACAACCAGGCTTGAAGCTCAGCGAGAGTCCGTAGTGTCGCCCTTGGAGGCTTTGCAGGTATAGTGAGCTAAGTGTCATTTAGTCATCGACAGTGACAGTTTCCTAGTCTCTGCTTGCTAGATTCGCAACCGCCGGGGGGGCTTGTGTTGCGATTCGCCATGACTAGCAGTAGCGACGACAGCAACAGTTCGTCTGGCAGTGATTCTCCATCGGCAGCAAGGAGAGCTCAGCAAGCCCAGGCTGCCCAGGCTTCCAACAAGCGCAAGTCTCAGGCCGGTTTTTGATTACCT